CTCTCTCTCTCTCTCTCTCTCTCTCTCTCTCTCTCTCTCTCTCTCTCTCTCATTCTCTCTCTTTCTCTTTTTCACAATGACATACACTTGGAAACGCAAACACACACACACATTATGACACACACACAAACGCACACTCACAAACAAACACATACATACATACACACTCACACACACGCGCTTGCGTGTGCACTCACACACACACACACACACACACACACACACTCACACACACTCACACAGAGACAGACAAGATGGGGAGACAAAGAAAGAGAGATAACGAGAAGAGTAGGAGACACAGGGAACAAATAATGCAGAGACTCAGAGAGATTGTTGTAATGTAGAAGGCGAACATAATGTGATGAATGAATTCAGCCTCTTTGCAACTCCCTGCCTCAGGACCTGTCAGAGCACACTCATTCAATGAACTCCTTCTGGACGTGCATTCTTGCCATTCGAAAAAAGAAAACAAAACTAAAAAAAAAAAAAAGACAAGCACGAAAAACAGCAACTCGAAGTCGCGCAATTTTGGGACTTGATAAAAAGAAGCCGAACATCGTTTTTCAACAGTTCTCAATCCTGTTTTAAAATGGCAATCAACAATATGCACACATCGAAGTATGAAAATTTACCCAATAATGCATTAGAGCTGCTGCTGATCAAATATATTACCTGTCCGCCTTAGGCCTACCTACTTCTTGTAGTCTTACGTCCCAGTTTATCCTTTTCACATGGCTACACAAACCTCAATAGGCTTCTTCACATGAATCTGATTTTCAGATCTAATTTGGGCTGTATCTCTGATTTGATACGGTTTTTGTGATACATCAAACAAACAAAATTTGGAGCTCTCACAGTCTAGAGGTTACGGTGATCGTCTCTCATTCAATATTAGATCCCGGGTTCGAAACCTCCTTTTCTGCTTCTCTAACAAAGTTCTGTCGTCGGCTTTGGTCTCCACTTTATGCCCCCACCCCCTCACCTCCTTTGCCCTCTCCTCTGAGTTCCTGACTCTTTCTGCAGCTTTTCTACTGTTTCTCATTGGCTCCTTCTTACTACTGTCTTTCAGCTACATCTCTGATTGTATGGTAGGTAAGATCTAACCCCTAGCCTTCTTGGATAAGGGTGACAAATCTTGCAGGTCCCGTGAGTAAGCTGCGAACGTTAACGATCCCTTGGTGGTCCAAAAATCGATAATAGTATGCTTCAGCCGCCACCTAGGCAAAATTTCAAATTTCCTACCAACTGAAATTATTACCACGAGTTCAAATTACCTTGTGCAGTTGTGAGAGCCAAAAAACACTTACCAAACAAACAAATAAACTAAATTAATCCTAAAAAACAGTGTTGAAGATTCTGCCACATTATCTATCTATCTATCTATCTATCTATCTATATATCCAACCACTCAACCACCACAGCACAGACAAGCATAATATAAATACATCGCCCCTAATATCCCAATGGAAAATCAATCCTTGTCTCAATCTCCACCCCAGCTCTCCTTCCCCCTCTCAAACCTCTAAAGTACAGTGCTACCCCAGCACGCACACACACACACACACACACACACACACACACACACACACACACACACACCTACACACACACACACAAATACTCTTTATCATTGTTTCAGATATATTTATCCCAGGAAAGGTTCAACCCCAATACCCGCAACACCCACTCCCTCACACTTTCCCCTTTTTTTTCTCCTACCCCTGTTTCCCTTTGACATAATTTTATATATTATTCCACCCAGCCGAGCAGCCAATGACCATGATCAAGCAGTGCCACAATCAGTTATACTGTCACGTTCTGCGAGTCTCACGACATAGAAGCTCTCAGGCTATGGATATTATGACGCTTTATCATGAGATCTGTCACGTGCTACATAGATTCTATCACTTGTTCTCTGCCTCTCTATTTTTGTGCGTGTGTTTGGGTGCGTATGTGTGTGTGTATTTGTGTGTCTGTATGTGTGCGTGTGTGTGTGTGTGTGTGTGTGTGTGTGTGTGTGTGTTTGTGTGTGTGTGTGTGTGTGTGTGTGTGTGTGAGAGAGAGAGAGAGAGAGAGAGAGAGAGAGAGAGAGAGAGAGAGAGAGAGAGAGACAGACAGACAGACAGACAGACAGACGGACAGATTGACAGGCAGACAGACTGACAGACAGACATACATATATACAGATGGAGAGTCAGACAGAAAAATAGACAAACAGACAGAGACACAAACTTGAAATATACTGAGACACACAAAGAGACGGAGGACGGGGAGGGGGGAGCAAGGAGAGGGACAGACAGACAAATATGTAGTTGTTTATAATATTAATATGCGTGTTTATACCCGTGTGTACGTGAGTGAGAGTATGTGTAAGGGTGAGTGTGCTTGGTTATGCAAATATGTGCTTATGTGACTGTGTCTTTATGTGTGCCTTTATGTGCGCGCATGTTCGTTTTGTTTTGTCCATACGTGATTGTAATATTGTGCGTCTTATTAGCTGTCTTAGAAAATATTATGACTCAGATCTATATAGGCATTCTCTTACAAAAAAAATAATATCTTGTGATTTGTGTTATTTAAATTTTGTTTTTTTCCCTCCTATGCATTTATTATTCTAGCATGTTATCTGCGTACCGGGTACAGGTATTCTGAATATAAATATACCTTTCTCATTGCCTGATCTTCCTTTATTCCTAATGTCAATATTCTACGTAAAAATCTCAACATGTCTTTTTTAATACTCATTCCTCTGTATCTTCATTTTTACTCATCATGTTCCTCGGGATGTGTTCATTGGATGAATCTTAATTTCTTTTTGAAAAGAACGGGTGGAATGGCGGTTTTCTAAAATAGACATCTAGATAGATAGATATGTTTTAAAGGAGAGTTAATACATACACCTAGACAGAAAGATCGTGAATTGAAACACCCCCCTCCCCCCGCCCACACACACATACACATACATGCACACTCTCTCACACACACAAATACACCCACACATACCCCCATCCATACACACACAAACAAACAAACACAGGGATACATACTGGCTTTGTTTTACCATCTTTAAACCTTACAGGTCTCAGAAAGGAAGCATCTT